ACAGAAACCTTTCCGGTTGGAGCCTCTACATCTACTTCAGGAGCTTTCAGTTCCAGGCTGGCTGATCCTGTGGGAATCTTTACTTCTGGAGCTGAAATGGTAATATCTCCTCCCTTCACCTCCGGCGTCTCAACCTGGAGCTTAGCTTCGGAGAGAGAAATGTCCACCTTAGGCATACTGCCATCCACGTCAACTTTGGGACCTTTGATGTCTGGTTTGGAGAATCCCATACTGGGCATCTTGAACTTTGGCATGTGCATCTTTAGTCCTCCCCCGTCGATGGTGCCTTCAGCCTCTGGCAATTTTATGGCTGCTGCACCTTCAGGCACTTCAGCTTTTCCTTTGGGAAGGGTGACATCAGTCTCAACCTTTGGCAAGGAGACTCCTGCTTCTGGTGCTTTAAGTTTGGCGACTTTGACACTAGGCATCTTCAGTGAAGGCATTTTGATTTTGCCGTTCTCTCCAATCTCCATATCCAGACTGGGGGCCTCTATCTGCACGTCTGTCAACTTAATGTCAGCTTCAATCTCTGCAGTTGTGAGTTCCGTTTTCATTGCAGTTTTGGGGAAGTCTGCTTCCACGGAAGATATGGAGAGTTCTCCCAGTGGAATAACTTTCTGCTTGGGAAGTGATATCCCAAACTTGGGCATTTGTAATTTTAACATTTTGAACTTATTCTCGTCATCTTGCAGTGTAATGGCTGAGCCATCTGCAGGAATTTCATCTGATGTAATATTTGTTTCTTGATCTGTTGTTTTCAATTCCAAAATTTCCTGACGTGCTTTTGACTTTATGTCCAATTCTGAGATGTTTATATCAGCAGCAATTTCTTCCATCTTAAGCTCAGGTTTGGTAGCCTTATGGTCAGCTTTGGGAAGGGATAAATCCATTTTAGGTATTTTGATGTCCACCTCAACTTTGGGACTTTCAATTTGTGGTAATGCATACTTGCTAGCAATATTTGGTTCTTTTCCTTTGTCCTCTTTCTGATATTGGGTTTCAGTTTGTACTTTTGAATCTTTTTGCTTTTTCTTCCTCATTTTTGGAATATTTTGTGAAACTTTGATCTGAGAGTCTGCAATATCTTTTGTTTGAATAACTGCTGTTTTCATCTGTGTTGTTGCAACTGTAGGTTCTTGTTTTGTAAATTCTAAATTGGATTTTAATTTCTTTTCTTTGGATTTTGTAATAGTTAGTTCAACATCAGGGTATTTTCTTGTATGTTGTGGAAGTGGAAATACCGTTTCTGATACACCTCTTTTTGGCTCTTTTTCTTTTGGTTTTCTGTCTACATCTAATGGAGTATACTCTCTTGTCATTATCTCTGAGAGTTCCACTGTAGTATCATTCTCATATTCTTTGAATGGATTTATTTCATACGGTTCTTGTTTTTTGTGCATCTTAAATCCAATAGCTGGAAACTTTAGTTTCTTTTGGCTTTGTTTTTTAATTTTTCCATGAATTTCTTCTGGCTGGAATTGTGATTCTGTATCTGTGCTTGTAGGAGAAACATCTGGAATTCCATGTTCATATGCATCTGATGTACTTCGAGATCTTCTATGTCCCAAAATCTTCTTTCCCTTAATGGACTGGAATTTTGGCCATGAGAGTCTATCCTTTTTGGTTCTTTTTTGTCTTCCCACTCTTTGTTTTACAATTAAGTTTGTTCTATCTTCCTCCGAGATTGTCTTCTCAGATATTTCCATTGTATCCATTCCCTGGAGAGAAAAATTCTGAAATGAATATGTTTGTTTTTAAAAAAATGTATATGGAGTATTATTTATATCATTTTGTTTTTTAATTACAAGGTTTATAATATGCTATAATCAATTCCCCAAATATATATCTGCGCTTCTGGTTGAATGGTCTGTATTCCCCTGGGTAATGGGAGAGCTTGAAGCTCCTAAGCTTTGGCGATGCACATCCTTATCCACCGGCCTATGGTCGATGGTGACACCCTGTTACCCATCGAAGATGGTTGGAATGACACAAACAGGGATTCTGTTTTTCGAAGAGGAGCTGTTCTCTTGATGTATATGCGGAGGGCCCTCCTAACGTCCAAGGGATGCCATTTCTTCTCCAGGGCATGAGTTGGGCCTGGGCAGAAGTCTGGCAATATTATTTCCTGAGCCCTGTGGAACCAGGAATTCACCCTGGGAACAAAGGAGGGGTCCAACCATAGAACCATCCTGTTCAAGTGAAAGATGCAAAGGTCCTCTTCTACTGAGAGGACCGCCAATTCGGAGATTCATCTGGCCGAAGTGATGGCCACGAGGAAGGTGACCTTGAAAGTTAGGAAGTGCAGACTGGCTGTCCACAGCAGCTTGAAAGGCACAGAGGTGAAGGCCTGTAGTACTTTGGGCAGGTCCCAGGTGGGATACCTATGTACCATAGGAGGTTTTAGTTTAGTTGCACCTCTAATAAAACTGTGCACGATTGGGTGTTGAGTGAGGGACTCCAGTTCCCCACATGCTAGCACCGTGGACAGAGCAGCCACTTTTCTGCAAATGGTGTTAGGGGAACAGTCCCTTGTCTAGCCTGTAGGAAATCCAGCATCTGTGGAACTGATACCAAGGTGGGGTCAATGTGACCTTTGGAGCACCATCTACAAAATGCTCTCCAGGTCGAATCATAGATCCTGTTAGTTGATGGCCTCCTGGAGGCCTGAATCGTCTGTATCACCTTCATGGAGAATGTATCCTTCCTCAGGATACTCCTCTCAAATGCCAGATAGTCAGCTGGAGCCACTGTGGCTGAGGGAGATTTTGTCCTGAGGAATCCTCCTGGGTCAGGATACTGAGAGGCTGACCAGATTTGCGTACCATAGGCATGGGTAGGGTGGGGAAACTTTTAAAAGTCCTAAAATTACTTCACTAACAGGTAGATTTTCATGATGTACAGCTTAATCTATAGTATAATTCAAGAACAATATATTACCTGACTTAATTTTTCCTTTTTGGACTGTGTTGCAGAATGTACTGCTTCCAGCTCATCTTTCCCAAGAAGTTTTCTTTTAAGATTGAACTGTACTTTGTATGGCTCAGAGTACTGTAATATCTTAAGTGCATCTTCATATTTGATATTATCAAAAAAGATTGTGGCACTCAAAAGCTGATCACCTGGAAAACAGAAACAAGGCTTTCAGACTATCAGATAAACCCCACAGTTCCTTGTCTAAATTTGCAAAGTGTACCACTTTTTATTCACTTTTTAAAAATATATACAGATTGTCCTCAATTTAGAAGTGTAATTAACCCTGGAACTATGGTTGTAAATTATACTGGTCGTTAAGCAGGTCATCCAGTGACCATGTCCAACAGTCTTTTCTGTTGTGGTCATTAAGTGAACATGGCAGTCATAAAGTGAACACTGCCGTTGGCAAAAAGCAGTCATGGGATTGCAAGATTTTGCAAATGGCCATAAATACAGGCCAGTTGCTGAGCACTCAAGAGGCAATCACATGACCGAGGGGGGAGGGCAACCATCAGACCTTCGAATCCAAGTCATATGTACCTTTTTGGGAGTCCATTATAACTTTGATCTGGTCGTAAATCGAGGACTACATGTACTATTTTATCCTGCCCTGCAGCTTGTTCATCGTTCAATAGGTATGCATACTTTTAAAAAAGTACTGTATGGTTATTACTTTTTTAATGTATGCTTTAAAGATAAGACCATTTTCTTAGTTAATGGTTTTAAGAGAAAATATACATATAATACAAAAGCAATACTGTACCTTCTTTTAGACTAAATAGGTTTGATGCTGGGGACTCCTTGAGCACTTGCTTCACAAATATGCCTTCGGCTCCCCCACCAGCGACACTGAATCCACTTGCTCCAGATTCCACTTCGGTTTGTAACGTCACTTCCATAGATTCCTAGTTGTCCCAAAAGGTATGCTATTAAATCTCATCTCTAAATTAATTCATTCTTCAATTCATTTATATCATGATGTCACTCACACTGTCATTAACAAAATAGTAGTACTTGACTGTACTACATTGCCAGAAAAAGCACATATTAAATTTACTAAAGAGCCACAAACGTTTCCTGGCACCAAAAGACAAGCAAAATTATAAAATAGATAACAAGGTTTTTTAGAGATTAGATTTATTATCAGCTTGCTGGATGAGTAATGTAAATAAGCCTATATCACAAGGTCAAAATGTAGGATTTGACAAGAAAGTATTAATATTTCTTAATGATCCATGATAGGCAGATAAAGAGTTTTTAGAAGATATAAACATCTCTCTGGTATTTTTTGGAATGGAAGACAAGTAATTTTAAATGAGAATTAAACAGTCAGCAATGATAAAGTATCTAACCAGATAAAAGCTTCCATCTAAAATGTCTACACTTAATATCATACATATGTATGATTATTTTTCAAAAGCCACATGTTCCTGAAGAACCCTCCCCCACCGAATATTGATCTTCATTCCTCTGGGTCTTATGAGAAGTCACCAGCAACTCATAAAATTATAAAATATTAACAGATTAACAGATAATCAGAGTTGGAAGGGACCTTGTAGGTCATCTAGTCCAACCCCCCGCCGCCCAAGCGGGAGAGCCTACACCATTTCTGACAAATGGCAGTCCAATCTCTTCTTGAAAGTCTCAAGTGATGGTGCTCCCACAACTTCCAAGGGCAAGCTGTTCCATTGGTTGATTGTTCTCACTGTCAGAAAGTTTCTCCTTATTTCCAGGTTAAATCTCTCCTTGTTCAGTTTCCATCCATTATTCCTTGTCTGGCCTATAGGCGCTTTAGGAAATAGCTTGACCCCTTCCTCCCTGTAACAGCCCTTCAAATATTGGAAGACCGCTATCATGTCTCCCCTGGTCCTTCTCTTTACTAGACTAGCCAAGCCCAATTCCTGTAACCGTTCATTGTATGTTTTAGTCTTCAGTCCCCTAATCATCCTGGTTGCTCTTCTCTGTACTTTAGTTTCTAGAGTCTCAACATCTTTTTTATAATGTGGTGAACAAAACTGGATGCAGTACTCTAGGTGTGGTCTTACTAAGGCTTTATAGTATTAGTACTTCCCTTGATCTTGATTGTATCCCTCTGTTAATACTGTATATTCGTTGAAAAGGATTGTATTGATTTGCCTTCTCTTCCATGTAATAAGCTTTTAGGTACCTGCATTACTCCTTAGTTTTCTCCCCCCCCCCTGCTAATTATACTCAACTCCTTGATTTCTTTATTCATTTTTCATACAGCTTTCCAGGCTTTCCATTGTTTTCTAGTCTGATACTTTTTCTCTCAACCTATTCCAGTTTCTCCATATCCTTGTTATTTTTTTGGGGGGGGGCGGGGGAGCAGTGGTGGTATTCTACCAGTTCGGCCCTGTTCTGGCATTGCGATAGCGCCGAAGATCAGCCGAGACTGAACCGGTTCTCTGAGGAGCTGTTGTTGGGCCCACCCGCCCGCCCGAGCTCCCATACTGACCTTTATTTCCTGCTTTTGGAGTGCAGCTGCTTTGCACGGCACAACAGATTGCCGCGCATCAGCTGCTGAAGTGACAGGGAGAGTGCAGGATTGCAGGAGGTGAGTTGGAACACCTCTGTGCTTGTGCAAAGTGCAGGTTTGGCGCGTGCACATGCACAAAGTGTGTGAGTATGCACAAAGCACGCCCACCAAGCCATGCCAACGAACCAGTGAATAAACTTTTTTGAAACGCACCACTGGGGGGAAGGACATATGGTCCAAGAAATATTAGTTCCTGTAATTTAAATGCAATACTTCTGCTAAAGCACTAAAGCAGAATAAGACTGCATTGAGCATTTTAGCAGTTGTATAATTCTGCTTGTTCAGCTAGTACTATAGATCTTTCTCACACCTCTTAATTTCTAGTACTTAATTCTGAAAAATACTAGGGTAATATAATTGTCTACTTAAAAACATAACATTAATGGCTATAATTTGACTTCAGCCACTTGCAAATCCTGTTTATTTACATAGGTATTCAATTGAAAGTAAATCAGGTATCAAAGTAACTTGAATAAAACGTTGTGGAAAAATGTGCATACTAATCTTCCCACAGAATTTGATTCCCAGCCCTGCATTATTTCAAATAGATCAGTGCCAGAAAACTACAAGTGGCCTACTGGACTTAGTCACACATGCTAAGATATAAATTGTGACTGGAGAACCCAAATTTGAAAGTGTTTAAAAGGACTTGTTTAATTGTTCAAAGGCCAGCTAGTTTACCAACTTGAATGAAAGAGCTTTTATGCTACCAAATAGTCTCTAGATAGGTTTGGGGGAAAATTATGTTCTACATTTGTCTCCTTTAAAACAGAACAAAAACAGAAATGTTTCTCTGACAACTAAAGGTAGTCCTCAACTTATGACCACAATAAAACCAACATTTCTGTTGCTAAGTAAGACAGTTGTTAAGTGAGTTTTGCATAATTTTTATGACCTTTCTTGCCACAGTTGTTAAGTGAATCACTGCAGTTGTTAAATTAATAACATGGTTGTTAAGTGAATCTGGCTTCCCCATTGATTTTGCTTGCCAGAATGTCAAAAAAGGTGATCACATGATCTCAGCATACTGCAACCATTATAAATACGAGTCAGTTGCCAAGCACCCAGATTTTAATTGCATGACTGTGGGGATGCTGCAATGGTCGTAAGTATGAAAAACTGTCATAAGTAACTTTTTTCAGTGCCATTGTAACTTTGAATGATCACTAAACAAATGGTTGTAAGTCGAGGTCTACCTGTTTAATCGTAGTGTAGTGAATTGGCAAAGGGAATATATGCAGAATTTCCAGCAGGATTATTGGCATTTATCAGGAATGATATCCCTTCTTGGAACAGGACTGCATCTGTAGCAAATCAGTTGTTTACCAGTTTGGATAGTTCCAATCACTTATTCGATGAAAAGGACCAATTCTAGCTGTAGTAGTGCTATCAGTGCTGATTGGGCCAACCATTTGCTATGAATGTGTTCAGGGCTGTGTGTGCCAAAGCATTAATAAAATGCATAATGTGATAGTGGATGCAGAATTCATACAACTTGCTTATTTTTAAATTATGTTGGAGTGTAAGAATATTAGTGTAATTATGTAATAGTGTAGTGACATTTCAGTTTCAGAAGTTCACTTCAATTACAAAAAGTGACTAAGTGAAAAGTTCACATTGTTTAACATCTGTACCTCATGCAAATAAAAAAAAAAATCAATTGTTATTAACGAGACCCAGGATTTTCAAGAATTCTAGCACAGTGCTTTCCTACAATGAAAGTCACACCTGAAGCCTAACAGGTACTTAATCTCACCTGTGAATCACTCATTTTGAAGGTGGAGTCTCTTCTTTGTCTGTTCTCTATATCTTGCTGAAGCTGGAAATAAACATGCAATCTTTAATGCTCCACCACAGAAAAGCAGATAACATATGAACAGGCTTTAGATATTTCTAGGACTTGACATAGTTAATTGCCTTTTTTTCCAATTAACTGCCTTACATTCAACATGTAGGGCAAAGGTTCTGTTGTTTACATGAAGATAGCCTTAAAAAAATCTGTCATAGCCCCCTATTGTGGCAACACTCCTGACTTATACTGATGACAAGAGTACACTCTTTTGTTTAAGAGAATACCGTTCTCTGTGCTCCTCCAGCCTTATAGACTATCATGCTTCATGGCTTCCCCAGTCAACTTCAGTAGAAGTCGAAATACAATGCATTCACCATTCTCTGGGCCAGCAGCCCTATATGTAAATGTACATACTATGCTCTCTTGCCTATCAGTCTCTGCTGGCAACTTTGCGTGCAAATGCACATCGTGTAGAAAACCAGGCAGTGGTGAGATTCAACCTGTTTGCAACACTTCAGCTGAATCGATTGTTAAATTACCCCTCACTCTTTACCTTGCCCCGCCCACCTTGACCGATGCCTACATTCACGGATGTGGCATAGCTGCTGCTGCTCCGCAGCCTCTGCATCCCAGCTGATCTCTGCCCGGTGAGTCTTCCTCCCTTAGCTGCCTCCCACACAGCCCATCCCGCTTGCCTGCCTTTGCTGAGGCCTACCTGATATCTGCATGGGCGACTGGACGTGTATCTGACATTTGGCTTCCAGCGCCAGAGAGGGCAGGGAAGAAGCAGCCGAGCTGCTGCTGCCTTTCATTGGGGGACGTGGAGCGAGATGGAGCTCCTCTTGCCGCCTCTTCTCCCCCCCCCCTCGCCAGGCATGGCAGGGCTTCCTGCCCCTCACTTTCACTGTAATTTGAGAGTATGGCAGGTGGGGAAAGTTGGGGTGGGAGAGGAAGGGTATTCCAGACTCCAGGGCCTACTGGCTTCTTCCCAGCAGCTCTTGCTCTGCCTTTTGGTGTCAGTGGTCAAAGATGAGGTTTTTGTGGGCAGAAGAGTTTGCCAGCACCAGCCAGATGCCCTTGTTTTCCCCAAGCATTTTTTGCCTACTTAATTTTCAACTCCATCACATTTCTCCGTCACGTTTCTTGCCATCGTGTGCAGGGAAACAAAACTTAGTGGGAGTAGAAATATCAATCTATTTCAACTTCTCACGAAAGAAAAAAAAAATCACGAAATTGGAATCGATTGATTTTTTGTTTTGTAGTCCCACAAAATTTTCCTGCAAACAATAGCAAAGAATGTGATGGAGCGGAAAATCAGGTAGGGAAAGCAACGCTTGGGGAAAGCGAGGGCACCTGGCTGGCGGTGGGTGGGGCAAGCGGCGGAATCATGGTGGAAAAAAATGAAGCTGCCCATTAACAGCCAGGACCACCCCAATAAACAAGCAGCAGCCGCAGTGGCTCCGTGGCACCCTGCTCCTCCTGCTGGGAAGCGCGCCCAGCCGTATGTGGCCTTTCCTCAAATGGGCTGTCTGTGTGCACATGAGGCACTTGGAGAGAGAGAGCAAGAGACCCCTCCAACCTGTTTTTATGTGTGTGTGTGAGAGAGAAAGAGAGGGAGGGAGGGAGCAATCCGTGTTTGCCAAGGCACACAAACTTCTGGCATGGCAGGGGCGGCTTCTGAACAGCATGATCTCCCCCACTACCCAGTCAGCCAGCTCCACCTGACCTACTCCCTGAATCTCCCCACCCTCAAGCGGTGGCAGGCTCTGCGGGACAACAGGGCCTCTCATTTTTCCCAAGGCGCAGTGTATGCCTGCTGCCTCTGCTTGTCTGCTTGCAATTGGCGATCTTCTCTGCTTCTCTCAGGATGCTGGTGTGGGCACCATGCATCGCTTGTTCCGGCAAGCTGGATGTGGGTGTAAAGGGCCTGGCTCCACAGTGCTTCCTCGCTCAGTTGAAAACTTCATTCAGCCTTCCAGAGTTTGCTGCACCAGAGCAAAAATGATCCCTGCGGACCCTGCCGCTGCTTGAGCAGGGAGGATGACGCTGAGGAGAAAAACCAAGAGGTTTTGCACCAGGCAGCTGGCCCTGCAGTGGCAGCTTGAATGGCCCAACTAAAGTTGTGGTTACCCCAAATCACCAATGTTGGCCTTGATGACTTACTTGAAAGGCCTTTTGATACTCTTCTGCAGCTCCTTTTCGATCTCACCCGCTTTCAGGATGATGGGCCCCCGCACCACGTACTCTACTGCTTTGACCTGCTAGTTCATAGATTCCAATATGAGGATCTTCTCACATGGTGCCTTCTTCAGCTGCAGGGCGGGGGCCTTGGCTACAGCGCTGCTCCAACCAGCCAGCCCAAGCCCAAGTTGGGCTGGGTGCTCCGTCTCCACCAGCGGCTGGGTGATGCTGCATGGGGCATTGAGCGGCTGGTGGCCACGCGGTTCTTTGCCAGTGGCCAGCCAGGTGAGGAAACGCACGGCCTTGGCTCTGTGCTCGAAGAAGCAAGGGGGAGTTGCGTGACAGCAGCTTCCCTGCTTAGCCTCAACAAGCAATGCACCAGCATCCCAAGAGAAGCAGAGAAGATTGATGCTTGCAAGCAGACAAGCAGAGGTAGCAAGCGTATGCCATGCCATGAAAAAAAATGAAAGGCCTGTTGTTCCACAGAGCCTGCCGCCGCTTGAGGGGGAGGGGTGAGGAGAACAGTGAGACTCTGGGAGTAGGTCAGGTGGAGCTGGTTGACTGGGGAGGGGGGATCATGCTTCTCAGAAGTCGCCCCCACTGCTGCCTCCCCCTCACACACAGAAAGAGGTTGGAGAACTGGGAGGCGAGGGACCAGGCAAGGTGCCCCTTGACGTGAATGATGGTGAGTTGGCCACATCCACCCAGTCACATGGCCACCCCCCAGCCACATCCCCCCCCAGCTGGTCAGAGCAGAGAACTAGTTGTTACATTATTTGAATCCCACCACTGAGCCCAGGTGATGCAGTGGTTAGAATGCAATATTGCAGGCTAACTCTGCCAACAACCTGGAGTTCGATCTTGATGGGGCTCCAAGTTGACTCAGCCTTCCATCCTTCTGAAGCTGGTAAAATGAGGATCCAGATTGTTGGGGGCAATATGCAAATAATGCTGACATTGTAAATCGCCCAAAGAGTGATTTCACCATCAGCAACTGTGTGCAAGTGCACACACAATGTTTACTTAATTCCTGCTTTTCATGTTGGGAAGTTGATATATAAGTGCAGTCATCTGCCTTTTCACTTTCAAAGCTGGGAGTTTCAGTACCTTCTATCTTTCCCTGTGGCTGGACCACAAAAACTGGTGTACTTTGGATAAGAATTATTTTTCCTTTAAAAAGAGAGCTATGCTGGCTGGAGAATTCTGGGAGTTGAAGTCCACAAGTCTTAAAGTTGCCAAGTTTGGAGACCTCTGTTCTAAATTTACTTTTTTTAAAAAAAAAAAAAGCTATTTTTTCATTACATTAAGCAACCTTGCAGTTTTCCTTTTCATTTCTAGATCACTGCATCAGATTCAAATGATAATAAGTGATGGCACAGCATTTTTCCCAGGATACTCTTGCAGATTATACAGAGCAGGAAAAAAATGGGTGCCCCTTTAGCCAATCAACATTAATTTTGTGTTTAACTTTAAGGGGCTAAGGAAGGCATAATAACTCTGTCAATGGCTCCAAAGGCTTATAGCTTGTTGCCGTAACTAAAACGTATACTAGGAACTCTTTCATTTTGAGTCTTACCTTTTTGTTAAAATATTCATCTTCTATACAATATTCATACACTGGAGAAGATCCTTGTGGCCTTGGTCTTATACTTTCAGTTGTCACTTCACTGATCTATAGAAATGGAGAAATAGCATTAGCTTGCCCTTATATCCTGAATTTGCTTTCCTATTAATTTCATGGGCTTTAAAAAATATTATTGTGAGGAAAAAAAGGTGGATTATACCTTTCTTTAGTTTGATCCAGCAGGGTACTGAATAATACCAAATTCTTATTAAATTAGCCAAATGGGTATAATACAAGTAGTCCTCACAACAATGATAATTGGAACTGGAATTTCTACTGTTAAGTGATGTGGCTATAAACCACAATGTTTATTTTTATTTATTTATTTATTTGATTTGTCAATTGTTTACAAGATAATGTCACTTAAAGACCAAAATTCTGGTACTTCCCATTGTCATTAAGTGAATCACCATGGGTGATTAAGCAAGAACATCACATGGCCTTCATTTATGACCTCCTGCCAGCTTTCCATTAATCTGCTGATAAGAAGTTAGCCAAATGGTTGCAAATAGTGATCATATGATGTTAGGATGTTGTGGCATTGTAATTGTGAGCTAGGAGCTGATTATGATTGCATGCCTGCAGGGACACTGCAACCAACATAAGTATGAGAACTGGACACAAGTACTACTTGTCCAGCACCATTGTAAGTTCAAACACTTTCTGAACAAGTGATCATTAAACGTATCCTGTACCTCCTTTAGATACTCTACTACAGGGGTGTCAAACTCGCAGCCCACAGGCCGGATGCGTTATGCACTGGCCACCCCCACCCCCATTTTAGCAAAGGGGAAAAAAGTCATGATACATCACGCGATGATGTGACGCTGTGAGTTTGACACCCCTGCTCTACTAACATGTCCCATGGATTTTTTTTGTTTTAGAAGGCTCTAGTTTAGTTTAACTTGTGACTAAAGTTGTTCAGGTTCAAGTTAATAAAAACTGGATAATGATTTCTGAATAGTTTCAATATTATTGTGTTAAAATCAAATGTAAATCATAACCCATTAAAACTGTTATAATCATGGCATAATTGAATATACTTAACAGCATTAAACATTTGCTTCAAACAAGTAACTTTGTTTTAAATATCTATTCTGGGCCGGGTTGAGTGAAGGCTTTCAAAAGCAGATTTTGATTAAATTCATGAAGAAGAATGGTTTAATTTGGTTTGTTGTTTGATTAGATGAAGCTTGATTTCTTGCTGTGAGGTTATATTGTAAAGGAAATGAAGCTTTGCAATTCCCAATTAAAATTAATAGAACAATCTGGATTACTTACCGAATCATCTTCTGCATCAGCCTCACCATCTGCCTCTGTATCTTCAGGTCTCAGCTGTCTACCTGATGCTGGAATTATTTTTAAAAAAAGCATCAAAATTGTTCCATCCATTAGCAGTAAAAAAAATGTATAGCTTGAAGTATTATTGCTGATCTAGTAGTAGCTGTTAAGACATCTAGTTCTGCCCTCCAATGGATATTTAATGGATGTGTATTAATGATTTTTCATATAAAATATGTCTCTAATCAATAGTTCATGGGACATAAATAAGCATTATGAAGTAGCAAAATAGAGAAGACTCATCTTATAGATCTCTCTTGGTTTGGCTTGATTAGACTATACTTATCACTGAATTCCTTATTCAAAATTTAGGCAATAAATGATGAGTTGCATTTTCAGTAGGAAGCATGTAAGGATTATTTCCAAAAATTAATAACAGACCAAGTTTATTTTTAAAAAATCATCCTGCTGTTTCCTGTTTTGTGTAAGAAACACTCATAGTTAAGTCTAGTACAACATGATTAAAACTATATATTCAGACAAACTGGATTCATTCTGCAACCTGAGAATCTATATTTGATTGGGATGGGATGTAAATACAATAACTAAATATAAAATTTTTGTATATATTTTTGTATTTCACACAATTTATTGTAGTTCCACTACTCATAGGAAGCCGTGAGGAACATGCAAGTCACCAAAGCCCCATCTTTCTCTATTAATAGACAGCCAGTTTGGTTTAGTGGTTAAAACACCAGCTTAGAAATCAGGAGACTAGGAGGTATAGGCCTGCCAACAAAGGAGAGATTTTGTGGCTCAGGGTTGAAATGAGGAGGTCTTTGGTGCTCTCTGAGCTTGTTTTCTTGCAGACATTTTGTTACCCAAACTAGGTAACATCATCAGTGCTAGTAAGGAGTGGAGTTTATATTCTAATGGTTTTCCCTGTCAATGTTGGTGGGCATGGCCTTAGAGAATCTTTCAGCTGTTTAGTGTTGGCTTGTTTGGCAGTTCCTTGATTGGGGTATTGTTTACTTGATTGTTGGTCTGATGTTAATCTTGGAGTTAATCTATTCTCATCAGGGTCCTGATTGCTGGTGGGGAAGTACTTTTCACCACATATATACACAGAAGCACCCACAGACATAATGCAAAGAACAGAAATGAATCTGTCTGCCTGTCCACACACAGGCAGAAGACATAATATTACACCAAATAAAATGTAGATACTTCCTTTGGCCATAGTTGATGAGGCAGTTAGAAAGAATTCTAGAAGCCATGCTCTGCATGTTTTCTCTAAATTGTGCAGTTTTTAAAAATCTCAGAGAGATGAACAAACAAACATAAAAATGAGATAAAATTGAATTCCTAAAGCTTAGGATACCACTGTGCTTCTTAAAACTCCTCTTCAAAACTAAACAAGGAAATAACACTGATTTAGCTCAGACAAAAGGTAAGCATGTCTATTCTATTTTCAAGGAAGCCTTAAACCACACCTTTCTAAAACAAGTTTTAGTTATTATTGCCCTGATCCATTGAGGGCTACTGTTGCGGTTTCAAAAGGGATGGTGGTGGCTAAGTACACAGCCCATGAGTTGCTTATGTGCGCTCCTTAAAAAGGAACTGATCGGCTTTGTTTCTGCTTTAAAAAAAAAGCTCGTTTCTCTCTTTGAAACTATGCTTTATAGTCTTATGATCTAAAATGTTCTGCTCTATCTTTACTCCTACACTTTTCCTGCAAAATTATTCCTTTGTTTTGACAGCAGTCCAGTGGCCACTGGGAACAGTTGCAGTGACTAATTCCACCATATTTGTGAAAAAGAAGCTGAAACAAAACACCAGTTGTGAACGATTTATGAAAGAATGAAAACATTACTAATCTTTGCAGAAAAATAGCCTAGAGTTTTTTGTCCAAAGCTTAACGTAAATAGTAAAATACTCAAAACTTGAATTTGTTTTACGTCTGATTTTCAAAAGCTGGTTATTAGTACCTTCGAAAACCAGCTGTTAGTAAGTGTCTAAATGCTTGATTACTCATTTTCGGGAGAATTTCAACCGGCAGGATGATATTTAGTATCTTACAGATTTGCAGATCTTGTTTGCTGTAGGTCAGACACCCAGCCAATGGGCCGGATGTGTCACATGATTCAGGGGTGGGATTCAACCAGTGTTACTACCAGTTCAGTGACTACCTTTTGACAGCTGAAAAGCGCTGCGTGCAGGTGCGCAGCGTTTGAAAAGCCACTTTTTTCCTGCTTTTTCAACCTCAGCTGTGCCGCGCAAAGCAGCTGAGATTGAAAAAGCAGGAAATAAAGGACAACCAAGAGCCCGGGTGGGTGGGTGGGCCAAACAGCAGCAACCACAGAACCGGTTCGGTGTCTGCTGCACTTCAGAGTTACCCGTTCTATAGAGCCAGGCAGAACCAGTAGCATCCCACCCCTGACGTGCTGGCTATGCCTATGCCCAGTTTAGCAAAGGGGAAAAAAGTCCTGATACATCATGTGATACCACCGTGATGCCATGAGTTTGACACCCCTGCTGTAGGTTGTAGAAGTCCATTTTAGTATTTGCCTGGCACTGGTAGCTACAACTATACTGGTCTTGATTTTATCTCTCTACAACCTACAGCAGAGGTCCCCAACCCCCTAAAAGTTCACTCTAAAAGCTTGTTGAAGCTAATGTTAACTTAATCAAATCATAATGACCTCTTTATAGTTCTTTAAGATCATGAAGTATAGATTGAAATTGGATTGATTATAGTATAATCAACTAGTACTGTTGTATTATATTGCAACCATCAAGAGAACACAGTTGTTCACCTAAGTTTTAGGAAATCAGTATGGTTATTTAATTTAGATCAATGTTTGCTATTATTAATTGGCTGCCTGAAATTTTCTGGACTGCTAGATCTATTACAAATCTTGTAAACAGCTCTTACAACCAGATGTAGTGACAAGATGGGAAAATAAATTCAAAATCCTCATTTCTGAACCTAGATATCTACCATCAGGATCAAGGAAACGATATATCCTCTTATGGAATACACTCCTCAAAGATTGAGCCTAAAGAGGAGGCAGTTCAAATAAGAGTAAGGAAAATCAGGTCTTTTCCTTAAAATGAGCACTTATTTCACTAGGATCAACTGTACACCCATTGAAATCAATGGGGCACAGATAAAAACTGCAATCCTAATAAAGATACATAACTGACTACATAACTGCCTCTCCCTGTCAGTTGGCATGAAGAAGCCAAATTCCAAACTTAGCATAGCATATTCCCACAATCAGAATGGACATGTACCCTTAGGAATACAAATATCCTAATTTCTACTTTTGTAAAAAAAAAAACTTAGAAAAGCATGCATGTGCAATCTTTAATGTTACCTTTCATTTGGATATACTAACTACATTGTAGAACAGAGTAGCAATAAATAACAGAATAACAGAGTTGGAAGGGACCTTGGGAGATCTTCTAGTTCAAACCCTTGCTCAAGCTTAACTCAGACAACCTACAAAGTTAACTATGACCCCTACAACAGCCAACAGAATACATGTTCTTGCACAGGAACAGGAAGTTCAAGTGCAAAGCCCAAGAGAGGGTATAAATATCCCTGACTCTCCACTCCATATGGTCAGCTACTCAGAACCACATGTGCTTGGTGGTTCTACTTCATCAATATATGGACCCTCTTTTCAATCAGCCTCCAACCTCCATATTGTCTCCAATGTCTTTCTCTCGGCTTGGAACTGATGGATGGATATTTCTCCCAACAATCTGGCATCCCAGATGGGACTTCAAGCTAATTTGACAAATGGACCTGGCCTGGGTAAGTCTCCTTGCTGGCACAGACCCATTGAGTCTGTGGGTGGATTTTTTCCAGACCTTGGCCATTTGGAATTAGGGTAGTAAAGTGTATTTAGTTTTGAGCTCAAAGGCTGCTTGGAAAGAAGGTGAGTACCTCTACGTAGGAAAATATGTGCTTAATTTACAGGAAAAAAAGCTGTCCAAATTCAAGCCCATCTGAAAGAAAACATACATTTTTGTTTTATAATCCTATAATTTTATAGCAGTAGCTCTTTTTTAGAACCTACTGTTGAAAGAAATTATATTTGAAATGGCTTTAGAACAAATATCATTGTTAGGTGACCATCTTTCCCATCTCACTCTAACTGGCCTTTCTTGTCATTTTAAGAGTTTAATTGTTAAGAGTAATTAAATGTTTTTAATTTCTATTTCGTTTTGGTAAGGTTAAAGTTTGTATTGTTAAATTGTATTGTTAAAAAAGAAGAAAAAATATAATAGATAAAAAATGTTAAAGTTAATGGAAAAGATAAATTTTCTGATAACACTGTTAATCAATTCACCCAGATAATACAGAAGAATGTGTGCCTATCCAAAATTGCACGTTTCATTGTCTTTCTGAATAAAAAGTTAGTGAAACAAAATTTTAATGATTTGAGGTTCTACCTCAACCCCATCCCATGCTGTTAAATCAGTCCTTGGGGACTGGCCACATCTTCTTGGGCAGCCATTTTGTAAGTGTACACATAAAATCCTCTCAAAATTGCAGCTATACCTATCAACCTTGGAAAGAAGGACATCCAGTAGCTCATATTCCCTAATGTCCTTTAGTGGTCATACCCTCAAAAAATGAACCAAGCTAACTTTAAAAAGGAGTTTGGTCTTTAGAAGGTGTGACATGTTGAGAAAGGAAATAGAAAAAGGAAGAGAAGCAAAGCAAAGCAAACTCCAAAAATAGCCAAAAAACAAAAAGATGGCCAATTGTGTCCAGCAGTACAGCTGGAAGACCCAGAAGGCTGGCAAGTCCTGAGGACAGGAATATTTCTCAGAGCCCAGCAGGCTGGCAGAGCCCAGACAAGGGAGCTCAGGGCTGCAAAGTAAAGGGTTGCACCAAACGTTGATAATCTAGCTTCCAGTCTTGCAAATGACCATACTGTAATAAAATGGGATAGCTGCATATTTTTGATCATGAACATTAATTGAAACCGTTGTCTGGAAGTTTGTTGCTATTTTCTTAATATAAGCCGACAGCCTTTTAAAACATAAAGTC